GGTTTAGGGTTTGTAAGAGTGAAATTCGGGTGTATAGGGTTTATAACGTAAAATTAGGGTTTAGGGTTTAGGGTTTAGGGTTTAGGGTTTAGATCAAGTCTGCGACATTCATCGGCATCTCATCAATCTGAGTTGCGTAGTATTGCTCGATATCTCTCAGAATACGAATATCATCGTTCTGTAACAAACACACACAAACCCTAAACCCTAAACCCTAAACCCTAAACCCTAAACCCTAAACCCTCAAGAGTTTGGGGTTTAGGGTTTACGACAAACAAACCACAAACCCTAGAAAAACCAAATGCTACACACAAAAAAAATCTGCTGCTGCTGCTGCAGCAGCAAAGCTTTCAATCTCAGGCTTTTTGAGGGTTTAGGGTTTAGGGTTTTGAGGGTTTAGGGTTTTGAGGGTTTAGGGTTTTGAGGGTTTAAGACTTTGTGAAATTAGGGTTTGGAGGGTAGATGAGTGTTTATGCTAGGGTTTGGAGTTGAGGGTGAAGTTGCGGGTTTAGAATAGTTTTGAGGGTTTATATAATTCCGAGGGTTTAGGGTTTAGGGTTTAGGGTTTTGAGGGTTTAGGGTTTACCTTGACGAAGTTGATAGCCACACCCTTTCTCCCGAAACGACCCGAACGACCGATGCGGTGTATATACAGCTCACGGCTGTTGGGGAGATCATAGTTTATAACCAAAGAAACCTGAGCTCAAACCCTAAACCCTAAACCCTAAACCCTAAACCCTAGACCCTAAACCCTAAACCCTAATTTATAAATCCTTGGGGTGATATTTCCATATATTTGACTGGCGTTTTTGTACGAAAAGGGTTTATTTTATCCTGTTAAAGGGTTTAGGGTTTCAGAATTCTATCGAGGGTTTAGGGTTTAGGGTTTAGGGTTTAGGGTTTACCTGGTGTACATCAAGACCTCTACCCCATATATCTGTCGCTATCAAAACCCTACTCTGCCCCTCTCTAAACTCCTTCATTATTTCATCTCTTTCTTTCTGCGGCATGTCACCGTGGATGCGGCTCACCTGAAATATATATAAATATACAAAATAAAAAAAAAAAATATATATATATNTATATATATATATATATATATATATATATATATATGTGTGTGTGTGTGTGTGTGTGTGTGTGTGTGTATAAATGATTATAAACAAAAAAAACGAAATAACAAGAAAAAGAAAAGAAACTAAGGCAAAACAACACAAACTAGAACAAAATAAAATAAACACAAGTAACATAAAATAAAATAAAATAAAATAAAATAAATAAAATAAAACAAAATAAAACAAAATAAAACAAAAAAATAAACTTAGGGTAAAGTTAGCTTCTTTGAGTTTTTGCGCTAACCATTCGACTTTAGTTTTTGTATTACAAAAAAAAAAAAAAAAAAAAAAAAAAAAAAAAAAAAAAAAAAAAAAAAAAAAAAA